AGAATAATGTCACATTTTTTTAAATGCTTTGTTTAAGTGAGAATTGTTTTTGTTTAAGTGAGAGTTGCTACCTATAAACAGTTTAGACATAATTTACTCCTCCTTTATTATTTTTCACTAAATATGTGTGCAAGATGGCTTTTAGTAATCGGCATTGCTAACAACGTTTAAGCCTTTTGAGGGTTGGTACAATTTTTCCTTAATTACTCATCTTTCTTTACAAAGTAATTGAATTGTCACGGCTTTTTTTAATAAACGACATTATGTAGTATTTATACTAAGGATGGGGAAGTAGGCTAAGAAATAATGTGGTTCAAATTGACCTAATTAATTTTGAGATAATATATACAAGTTACAATTTTTTCTGGAAGCCTACATTTGTTTACTGAATTATGACATTTTGCTAATGGCCTTTTTGAATATTATACCAACCATGCAATATTCCCCGCGTTCATGATGTTTGTATGACAAACCTCATGCACCATCCCCTACATATATATATATATATATATACGTGTTCAAGCCCTGCATGCTTATCCATCCAAACTATATATTCATAATTTTCAACATCAAATACTCTATATTCTTCTTTTCCAATCACAACTAGATCACATGAAATCCCTCAAGGTTTTGTTTCAGCTAGCGATGCTGATGGCTTTAGTGGCCATTACTCGCTCGGCCACACCAGACCAAGAATTCGAAGAACCTTCTTCGGCGAGGAAGACAACAGTATCAATGTTTCAAACAGTGAAACCTTTGAACAAGAAAATACTTTTTGGAATTGATAAATTATAGCGGATGAGGATACGGGCAATTTTCAAGTAAAGTTTCCGTTATCAGTTGGAAGTAATGGTCGGCAGCATCACCTACATTTGGTGCCCTGTCAAACCAGCTGAACTCCTCTGGATCTTCTTCAAGCATTTTCAACAAATCAGCATACTCCAACATGGGTTGGTTAATGTTTGAACTAGCTGAGAGAGCCTCTCCTGCTGCAGCTCCAGCTACTGCCTTCCACCATTGCTGGAAATGTTTCTGCATTGGATACATTGCCTGATGCTATCTGTTTTGGCACAACCTCAAGTACCTCAGTTGTTCCGGCGACTTCTGTCAAAAACAGATTCTGATTTTGGGAAATGAAGGGAGCAGTCAGGCCTGGATTATAAATTGCGCTTGATTCATGCCTACTTCAGTTGTTCCTCTGACTTCTACTGAAAACTGGGTCTAATTTTGGGGATTGAAGGGAGCAGTCGGTGCTGGACAATAATTGTGCTTGATTCATGCTGGCAAGCGCATTTGGGAGCTGAAAAGTATTTCCTGAGCGCCGGTGTGAGCTTACAGGGCTAGGGCTCATAAACCCTTTTTTGTTAATTTATATGTTCAAAGTCAGTAACAAATTGTGAGTCAAAGAGTTTAGTTATATACATGGAGTTCTACTGAGGTTTTTATGAACTAATCGCGTTTAAAATTTCAACTTAATTATAATTTTGTTTTTGTTGGTTGGAAGTTAATTTTAACCTGGTAATTTGCATATATACGACTCTTGTAGATACTTTACAGCTAACCAACAACATCTACTAATTAATTTTCAATGAAATTCAAATTCAAATCTTAATAAATTTACACAATTTGAATTTAAATATTATCTCTTAAATATCCATATCTCTCTCAGTTCCAGTCCATGCTCTCATCATTCAACAACATCAATCACAATCAAAACCTTCAATTCTTCATTTTCTGATCGATGAAGCCCGCGCCATATTCGATAACTTCAGCTGCAGCAGTCCCTATCACCTTGTATCTCTGCATTGTACTAATTCCTGCATCAGTTTTTGGACGTACGTTTTTCGGTTTCCCTACAATGCCAGCGAAAGGAGGAGGCAGTGCAGGTCAGGCTTGTGCAGCATGCAAACACCAGAGAAAGAAGTGCGCCCAAGACTGCCCTCTCGCTCCACATTTCCCCGCTAGTAAGCCCCAAACGTTTCGGAACGCACATCGTTTGTACGGCGTGAGTAATATTAAGACAATTCTTAAACAAATTCATGACCCTCAGCAGAAAACAGACGCAGTGCAGTCTATTGTATACGAGTCCGATATGCGCGCAAAGTTTCCTGTTACCGGCTGTTTGGGAATCATAAACCAATTAAATTTCCAGTTGCAAGAAGCAATGAAAGAGCTTTATCATGTTAGAACACATCTCGCAGTTTGCAAGGATCAGTTGTTGCAGGATCATACAAACCGGCGGATTGAAGACAATCTGCATTTTCAGGATGATGATCCGGACTATCGTAATTTGGTGAATCCAGCAGCTCTTAGGCCGGTTCAAGTTCAACAGCCCTATAATTTTGTTCCACCAGCCCAAGCTTTTTCTAATCGTGCTGAACAAGAAACGGATGCTCCGGCAGCTCCGAATTATCAATGTTATCATTATCTGGATTCCAATGACAGATATTAATTCCATGTGAAAAAGTTCATGAATGTCAAGAAGCCTGCAAAGTCGAATAAATTTGTTTAATTCGTTAAGACCGACCGATGCAGTGCTGATCGTTCAAGATGCGCGAGGCAGCAGCATGCTTCGGCCTAGCTAGCTAACAAAGCTAGACATGAATTAAGCTCGATAAGTTAATTACAAAATGATTTCGTTTCTGTTTTATTCTTCATAATTTTTGTTGTTAAAAGGAAGACGATCGATGTTGAGGATGTACATTTCCCCATGATGTTTGTTGATCGACGTATTAAATAACAAGTCCTTAATTTCTAAGAATATTTAAACAAGTGCTTAATTTGCCACTTAATATTACGGTCTAGTGGTATTCCTCTTCACTTGTACCTAAGAGGTCTTAGGTTCGATTCTCGCCAAAGGCGAATTTGAACCACATTATCTAGCTCTTTGTAAGGCTAAGACTGTGATCTCATATAATTAAGATAGTCCTCGTCTAATTTTATTTTTTTTCAGTAACAAATTATCCCCAAAGTGACTAATAAAAGATCAAGTTAATTATTTTTTTGTTGGTTACAAAGTAGCCCAAAGCCCAAGCATAGTCGCTAAACAAAGAAAAACATCAGCCCAAAGAACTCACACAAACAGCTTGATTCCTAACAACCTTGAAGTATCATTTATAAGAAAATTAACAATTGAACGAAGAGGGTCATCCAACATAATACAGCTCAAGTCCAAAGAAAAACTCATCTTTGCCAAACCATCCGCCAATATATTCCTTTCCCTATAAATATGATTTAAATCACATTGATCAAATTGAGAAATCAAGTGATGACAACCATATAATAATGAAGCCAAGAGATGCAAATCATGCACAACACTTGAAAAGTGAACTAAAACAATAGAGTCAAATTTCACAAGTATCCTCCTAACACCCTTATCCAAAGCTATTTTCAAACTCAAAAACAGGCCCCACATCTCACCTTCAAAGACTTCTTTTATTCCCATATTAGCTAAAAATCAATGTAATATCTTCAAAGGTGGTTAAACACATCTCACAACTTTTAAATTAAAAATATATATCTCAATATGCAAGTGGTAGATAGCGTTGTGGTTAAAGCTTTTATACTTACTCTAAGTGTCGAATTTGTTCATATTTTCGGCAGGTAAATACTCAATTTAAGATTTGGCAAGAAGTTGTTACCGGTAACTGTATAATATTTCATTAGGAAAACTACCAAAAGTGTATAAATTTCAGCAAGTACCTACGGAAGTTGTGTGTATTTTCAGTAGGCTTAAAGTTGTGTGTATTTTCAGTAGGCTTAAAGCAAAGATTGAGCAACAAATGCAACTATTCAAATTTTCAGCAGGGACCCACTGAAATTTCTAAGAGATTCGGTAGGTATCTACCGAATAATACACCATTTATTTTTCAATAGGCTTTTTAGCTAAAATGATCCATGAGATTTGCATAACTCCTCACTTTGGTCCCTGAGATTTCAAATCAATAGAAGTGGTCCCTGAAATTATCCACTATCCATCATTTTGGTCATTCCGTTAAAAACTCCGTTAAGTGTCCCGGAGCTCTTACCCGAAAGTTTGGGCAATTTTCAAAGCTTTGTAACTCAATCGTTTCTTTACCAAATTCGACCCATAATATATCAAAATGAAGATAGGAAAGTGTAGAATAAGATTATACCATTTTGGAAGCCCAATGGTTGCCGGAGATGGTCAGAAAATAGCCTCAAAGTTGACTGGTCCAAGGGAAAAATGAAAACCCCCGGAAACTGGGTAAACTTTAAACATTCATAACTTCTTCAATACTCAATGAAATCAAGTGATTAAAAAACAAAAATCATACTTCTCAATGAGACGAAGAGAATGATATCTTTTTCAGCAGCTAAATCACCGTGGTTTGGCCGAAAAATGGCTCGAAAGTGGCTGTCTTGGTTTCGAGGTAGCCACTTTTGAGCCGTTTTTCAGCCAAAACACAGCGAGTTAGCCATAAAAAATGGTACCATTCTCTTCGTCTCGTTGAGAAATATGATTTTTGTTTTTGAATCACTTGATTTCGTTAAGTATTGAAGAAGTTATGAACATTTAAAGTTTACCCAATTTCCGATGAGTTTTCCAGTTTTCCCTCGAACCAGTCAACTTTGAGGCTATTTTCCGACCATCACCGGCAACCATTGGGCTTCCAAATGGGTATAATCTTATTCTACATTTTCCTATCGTCATTTTGATGTATTATGGGTCAAATTTGGTTAAGAAACGATTGAGTTACGAAGCTTTGTTTGTTACATAATAATTATAGGATCATTTTGGTTCCGATCCCTAATCAACCTAATTGTTGGACTGAAACTTTGTTTGTTTAAATATTTTGACCGAGGTCCTTAGCATTATTTAACCCATGCATTTAATGTTCCACAAATTATGAAATGTAAACAAATTCAAATAATATTTTAAAATATAATAAATAATTAAAAATAAATATATTTTTTTGTCAAATTTTCAGCAGGTATACAATGAGATTTTGTCATATTTTCTGTAGATATCTGCCGAAGAATATTCAATTTTTCAATATGGACCAACCCAAAAACTGAATGGCGATTTTGTCTGCTTTGCTTGTTTCATAATTTTATCTGCTTCATCTCTCACAAGTCACAAATAAGAAAAAGCGAGAGTGAAGCAGCTCTCTAAAATTCAGCAATGGCGACCACGCCAGCACTGACGCTTCATCTCTCTCGCCTCGCCCGCCACTTCCCTTTCTCTTCTTCTCCTCTCCCGACTCCTTTTCACTTTCCTCGTGCTCGACTCCTTCTCAGGCTGCCTGACCTGCCCTTCCGCCGCACCCGTTCCTTCTCCACCTCCAACTTTTCCCGCCGATTCTCTGTTGCCGCCTCGACCGGCCCAGGTACGACTCCAATGAGTTTGTGCTTCTTTCTCTTTGTCAGTCAGTAATTTTGTCGAACATGTCCCGTGCCTCTCAGTAATTCACATCAATTTGCAAAAATAGTGTACTTTATGCAGTTAACGGTCTCTCTCTGCGTTGGTTGAGCATTATGTGATATGCAATCTCTATTTGTGTAGCAGAATAATCTGCGTCGAGCATCTCCAATGGGCTCCCTGCATGAACTCCTAACTAAGATTTAGTCAGGATTTGGAAAAATTCGTCTGCAATCACACTCCTATCGTTCTCCTAGGATAGCAAAACCGCTCGGAGCTCCTAAATCTGGGATTCAAAATGAGCTCCTAAGGGCATTAATCACTACTGTTTTAATAACTTTTATTGGTTAATAGTCATTGTAACTATGTAGAGAGTAGGGTTGGAGTAAAATTTCTATAGGAAAGTCCTAAGATGAGAGCATGGGAACATAAGCTTGATCGAGAATTGGATAGGAAAGGTGGAAGAAAAGGTGCCTTCATCCCATATTTGGGAATATAGAATATCTTGCTAGAGTATATGAGCTTTTCTGCTCCCTTCGCTTACAAAGATGATTTCGTAGGGACAAGTTCTCTCTAAACCAAAATTTGCTCACAAGCTTTTCAAACTCTCATACTCTTTTTCACTCTGCCCTCACTCTTCTCTGAGGCAAATATAACTGCAACGAAACCATCAACGCTTACCAGCTTCGACTACATAATCTAGACAAGCTGGTGATGTCATATCAAAATCCCGCATTTACAGTACCTGTCAGCCTTTAAATTAAATTCAACAAACAACCAGTAGGATGCCTTGAACAAATAACATGAGGTGGTTTGGAACAAATGATTCTCCTGAATATGTATCTGCATGAACAAATAGCATGAGGTGGTCTTTCTTTTGCCTGTTTTTTCTTCTTCTGGCCATGTAGAGGTATTGTATTTGTTTTGTGGACCTACAACTTTTATTTGGGACCCGCTCAATTTGGAATATCATTATGGCTCATTTACTAATCCGTAATCGGAATCAGAATCGGAGCAAGGTAATTGAGAAAAAGGTTGAATGGGGTAGAGTCAATCGGAAAGAAACCATTCTGTTTACTAAAATGCACATATTCTAAATAAATTATTGTATATGCTATATTGCTATTTAAGAGTAAATAAACCCAAAAAATTTAGAATTCTAATAATTACCCATATATTTTTAATAAAAGTGTCATTATTATTAGTATAGTTATTTTTAATAATAATGATAAATTGAAGAGGAGAGTTAGTCTAGTTGTTACCTAGCCTCTTATTTTTGTTCCAATCTCTTAACCTTAAATAAATAGCATGAGATGGTCTTTTTTAACATGTGTGGGTTTTACATTGGCCTTGATTTTTCAAGTTTTGGCCTTTACCATTCACAATGAATACTGAAGGTGAAATTCAATCACTCTATCGTTCACAATTTCACAGGTCTAAGTGATGATGGGATACATGATGAAAGATATGATGTCATTGTGGTCGGAGGAGGACATGCAGGCTGTGAAGCTGCCCTAGCATCTGCTCATTTAGGGGCGAAAACTCTTCTACTCACCCTAAATATTGATAGAATTGCTTGGCAGGTTTAATTCTGCTTTTTCTTGATAACCTCATATTTTTTTCTGTTGTATTTAGAAGTTTTGTTGTATTTCTCAAAATTAGATATGTAAAATTAATTTTCATTTTGATTTTAACCTTATAATTCCTCTAAAACTGGGAGTCAGCTTTCCACTAATTTATTCAATTATTCTCAATTCCTCACCTTTAGATTTGATATTGTATTCTCTCTCCCTCTCTCTCTCTCTCTCTCTCTCTCTCTCTCTCCACACACACACACACAAATAGAGGTGTGATCATGTTACTGCATGCAAAATGGTTTAGGTGCTTAGAATCATGACACAGATCATTTACAGAGCTTCTTAATGAAAAATGTTTGATGCAGCCCTGCAACCCAGCAGTTGGTGGACCAGCAAAGTCTCAACTTGTACACGAAGTGGATGCCCTTGGTGGTGAAATTGGGAAGATTTCTGATCGGTAAAGTAATAAAATCTCCTATATTTGAATGTTCTTTTCTGAGAAGCTTGAGGATATACTTATGGCTTGCTATTTGTTTTGGATGATGAAATTTGGAACTGACTTTTCAAGAACTTTGTATGTTTTGGTGCGGGTTTGGGGTATTTACATTGAAGAATTAGAGAGGGTCAAATGACACATGCATTAAGAAGATTAAAGGTCGTACCCAGTGCACATGGCTCCCGCTTTACACAGGGTATGGGAGAGGTGAATGTCGGCTAGCCTTACCCCCATTAAGAAGGATTGCATAAAATGCTCGGGTACAAAAGTAAAGTGATTGTATTGTTGTAAGTAATTGTGTATTGCAAGCCCTTAATGTAGAAATGAAAAGACCAAAAAAAATCTGTTTTTTAGGTAACTGGGCCTATAATTTATGAATAAAGAAAATAATTTTTTTGAGATGGGATCATGGGAGTATGATCAGAAAAAACTGTTCATCAGCAGTCTACAAATGGCTTGGAAAATGTTGCCTTTTTATTTTTGGGAAAGCCTTTTGGGATTTTTGTTTTTCTTTGTGGACAAAAAGAAGTTGTTTCAGGTACTGTGCCATTGCGTAAGCTTGCTTAACCCTTAAGCTTCGATATACCCTAAATAGGGTCGTTAAATTGACAGAATATATTCTGATAATAGTAAAACATTTTCTTGTTATTTGTAAGGTTACTGCCAATTTTTTCCTGGTCCAGCATGTCAGATAATTTGTAATTCTTTCTACTTATTCTTTGCCTTTTAAATGTTTTAGTTTTTGTTGGTTTTTACCATTTCATCTTTAAAGTCCCCCACTTTCACCTTCAGTCTTTGCAACTGTTGCTGATTTTCAATTTTTATGCTTAGATGCTATTTACAGAAGCGTGTACTCAATGCCTCAAGGGGCCCTGCTGTTCGGGCATTGCGTGCACAGACTGATAAACGGGAATATGCTATGGAAATGAGAAAAATAGTAGAGAGGCAAGTATTACTTTATTTTTCTTCATGATTCTTTTACTGTCCTTTTTAGTGATAATTGTGGGGTTTGGTTTATTTTCCTCTCTTTTTTTAACCTATTATTTCCACATAGACAGTCATGAAATTCATATGTGGCTGATTTTATCCAGTCTTTATACTTTAATAACAAACACTTCACGGTCTGGTTCTTATGGTTTTGCAAATTCTGAATCATGATTGCTTGAATTGGAATATGGTTTTATTTTTTGAACTATCGTACTTTGAAATGTAATAGCTTTTCCCTGTAAATGCATGTTTTAGTATCAAATATATCTGCTTCTTTTTTGTTTTCAGATTGAATTACGAAAATGTGCTAATATTTTGGCTGTATGATCAAGCATTAGAAAGTATTTATGATTTAGTGATGCTGTCATCAGCATTTGCTACAGAGTTACTTGCCCCAGTACTAGCAAAAACACATTTCTATCCTTCTGAGATGTCTCCTTCATTGCAGCCAACTGGTGCAGCCAAACAGTAGAAGCAACTAGATAAAAGTTGTAAAAGCAGCTGAATTGCTTACATTAAATTAACTTTTTTGGTATAAAGTGTATTCTTCAACTTTAGGCTATGGAAACGAATGAAATCCCAAAATGAAAAAGAAGCAATGATCCCAAAATGAAAAAGAAGTAATGTGGTAAAAAAAAAAAAAAAAAAAAAAACTAGATGGAAAACGTTCTAATGAGGACCTAAATTGGGGAGCTACTTTAAGGGCTTGCATCTCAAATGTGAGGTCAGATATAGTTGGCTGATATATGCATAATTACTGTGTGAGTGAGATGCATCTTAACTGTCCGTGTCTGATCTATTGGCTTAGATAGAAGCTTTTGTCTAAATCTATGTTAGATCATCTTTGTATGCATTTGATATGTCTTTCATCTAAATCTTCGTTAGATTACCACTGGTTAAATGAGTATGCATCTTTGTATGCATTTGATATGTTTCTATATTTTTATGCATTTGGTATGGACATGACTTAGCTTTGAAAATGACGTAGCTTAGCATAATTCTTGACAGGTTAAAAGTTCAATTTGGTTCGATTTTGATGTTAAATTGTATTAAAAATTTCTGCTCCAATGCATTCCATGTGGCTGACTGAATGATATCATAGACTAAGCAGCATTCCATATTTCTCATACTAAATTCTTTCATTTATAAAATGAAATAAAACTACACATTTGGACTTGGCATGTTAACATGATATCACTCATCAAGAAAGAAGAGAAATGAATACAACAACAACAACAAAGCCTTTTCCTACCAAGTGGGGTCGGCTATATGAATCCTAGAACGCCATTGCTCTCGGTTCTGTGTCATATCCTCCGTTAGATCCAAGTACTCTAAGTCTTTTCTTAGAGTCTCTTCCAAAGTTTTCCTAGGTCTTCCTCTACCCCTTTGGCCTTGGACCTTTGTCCCATAGTCGCATCTTCTAACCGGAGTGTCAGTAGGCCTTCTTTGCACATGTCCAAACCACCGTAACCGGTTTTCTTTCATCTTTCCTTCAATTTCGGCTATTCCTACTTTACCTTGGGTATCCTCATTCCTAATCTTATCCTTACTTGTGTGCCCACACATCCAACGAAGCATCCTCATCTCCACTACACCCATTTTATGTACGTGTTGATGCTTTACCTCCCAACATTCCGTGCCATACAACCAGGGGCGGAGCCACCAAGGGACTAGGGTAGTCCTCTGCCCATCCTGACTCTATCTGAGGTGTGAATTTTATGGAAGAAGATGAAGCAAACGACGTCGTTAAACTGTTTTGATTTTAAATCTTTTCGGCTGTCTAATGAAACGATAAGTTTGGCATGAGAGTTTTAAAAGAGATGTTCAATTTTAAATGGAAAAAACAACTCCATTTCTGGTTCGATTATGTCACCTAACAGTAGTATACACCCTATAATTTTCTAAAGCAACCCACCTTCTTTATTTGCAGACCTCTCCCCCTTTTCCTTCTTTTTCTACTTCTTTGTATTTTCTTTAGCCTTCCACAACCTACCTCTTACTTGGTTGTCTGGGTTTTTACATTTTTTTCTTCTTAGTATTGAATTTAAGAGATTTTTTTCAGTTTTGTGAGGATTACACAAATTGCATATGTCAACATGTTATGAATTCAACTTTTTACACTCATATATATATATATAGACACACACACATATATTTGTGAAATGCCCCTCCTCATTCAGAATTCTGGCTTCGCCACTGCATACAACATCGCCGGCCTTATTGCTGTCCTATAAAATTTTCCCTTAAGTTTCAAGTAATGATAATTGAGTTTTCATTTTCTTTTGTGAAGCTTGTAATGCAACCCTTCCTAGAAGGATATATATTCATGTGCTCTTGCCAATATTCACAGTGTCTTTTTTAATTTATTGTACTGAAAATCACTAATAGGTTTTAATTTCAGATATTAGAGATCCTTGAGTTTAATATATTGAAATCAAGACTTGGAATCACTCTCATACAACTCATGAGTTTGGTTCCAATACAATAAATGGTCAACCATTCGAAAAAGAACTCACCTCCATCATACTCACTCTACTATTGTGTTATAGGAATCAAGCTTACCTGAATCACTGTAGAAGGCCTTATTCTCCTTTCTTTTTGAGAAGAAACAGAATTTTTCTAAACCAAAATATAGCACAGTTATCACACTTATTCTCATGTTGCAGATCTATGTTTTTTGTGGCTATTTCTTTCCATATATTTGATCTGCTTTTGTTCTGCAGCACACCAAACCTTTCAATTCGAGAGGCAATGGTGACAGATATCTTATTAGGAAAGAATGACAATGTTGAAGGTGTGCGGACATTCTTTGGGATGAACTTCTACTCTCCTTCAGTTATTCTCACGACAGGCACATTTATGAGTGGTAAAATTTGGGTTGGTAGAACTTCTATGCCTGCAGGAAGGGCTGGCGAATCAGCTTCACTTGGACTCACTGAAAACTTACAGCGCCTTGGATTTGAAACTGATCGGTTAAAGACTGGAACCCCAGCGCGTGTGGACTGTCGCACTGTTTGATTTTTCTGGATTGGAACCACAACGTGGCGATGAAGAGGTCCATCTATTTAATCCCATAAGTAGGTTCTGTATATTGGTTGTGTGACACTTGTAATTTTAATTCATGCTTTGCACTCGTCATTCAAGTAGATGTTAAAAGTATTTAATGTCATAACAATAACATTTACCTTTTCTGTTCAATGATTAATATTTAGAACTATCAGTTTTGTTGCTTTGAGAATTGTGTTCTAAATTTGAATTGATGGTTAACAGGTCGGCTGGTTTAGTTTTGATCTTGATGTCCATATTGAAAGGGAACAAATGTGCTGCTATCTCACACGTACCACAAAGAGCACTCACCAACTAATCAAAGATAACTTGCATGAAACTCCTACTTATGGAGGATGGGTTGAGGCGAAGGGGCCTAGGTATTGCCCTTCAATTGAAGATAAGGTAAGTTGAAATTGACCTAGTATCTGAGAGACTTTTTTTGGCAGCACCAGATACTATTAGTTTCCTAATTATTTTATATGACGTTGGGCCCTTTGAACTACGATTGCATCACCAAACGAAGTATAGTGTTCTAGTATCATGAAAAACAACATAGTTTTGAGTCTTGACACTTTCGTATCAATTTTGTTGTAATCTGGCTCTATGTGAGGATGTGAGGTCTCACAGTGAAACCTTCCCTTGTACTGGTTTTTTTTATTAATGAATGCATGATTATTATTTAAGAAAAAGTCTCTATGTGAGACTTAAGACTGGTTTGGGAGTGAGGTGCTTAAAAAAAAGCACCTATGAAAAAAAGCTGTGAGGGAATAAGCTGAAATCAAAGGAAAAAGCTGAAGCTGCTATTTGTAGCTTTGGAAAACTGGTTTTTTTTCAAAGTACACGGAGCTACAGTGCTCCTTTAATGAAAAGACCCACTATCAGACTGCTTTTTTTTCTTTCAAAAGCACTTTTACAAAAAAGTTTACCAAACACTCTGCTGATTTATTTCACAGCCGCTTATTCTCACAGCAGCTTTTTTTTTCAAAGCACAGCAATACCAAACCAGCCCTTACATCCACGGGAAGAAAAGTATGCTTCCTTTTACTATAATTGGAACGAATTTAAAAGATAATATTTCACTATCACACTAGCTAGATCTATAACCCTTAAGGAGAAAGTTAGAAATAAAGAGGTATTCTCCAAATGGTTCTCAAAGCATCCTTTTATAGGCTTAGGAAGTGAGGCCATAAATGAGTGAAATTATTCCTATGATAATGGCAATTGATGACCCTTTGCTATAGTTCTGCATGCAAGTAACATCCCTAATAATTTGCATCCAGATATTGTTATTCTATGGTTGCTCATGGTCTGTCCGTTACCTAAGATAATGGCAATTGATGATCCATTGCTATACTTCCGTATCCAAATAACATCCCTAATAATTTGCATCCGGTGTCAATATTCTTTGGTTGCTTATGGTCTGTCCATTTTATTGCTAGATAAATAATGCTCCAACTTTCACAAAACACAGTAGTTATATACCTTTTAAATCCCAGATCTGGTCAAACCTCTGAGCCATATTGCCTCCACTGGTTCTGTGGTTGCAAGAATTCTGCCTCAGTGGGGCGACAGACTCATATTTATTTAGCACATTGTGTCTGAAGCTGTTAGGACATGCAAGGCCTGGGATGCACACTATGGGGCATCCTTTCCATACATGAACATTTATGTATTATCATTATGGTTGCTGTGGAAACTGTTTAGTTTCTTCTTTAAAGGTGGGGAAAACACTATAGATGGAGAGTACCCCCAACACATTATATTAGAAGCATTTACAACAGTGTTACTAAAATACTCCTAAGGGTCTAACAGTTGTAAATCAAATGAAGGGTGATGAGAAAGTAACAAACGTGCTAAACATGGTTTCCTACAACTGGTAACCCTTCACTTGTTTAATATACCTTGTGGAACATTGATAAAATAACATTCTCCCAATCTTCTTCTTTCCTATGAAGAGAAGCTTCCTGAAGTCATTTTGACCTTATTTTTTGGCTTTAGATTGTTCGGTTTCAGGATAAAGAGTCTCATCAAATATTTCTTGAACCAGAGGGCCGAGATGTGCCGGAGCTTTATGTGCAGGTATATTAGCATTCACCTTTTGCCTTCTTTGCATTAAATGAAAAGGAGAAAAATATAGTTAAAATGACTTAACTTAATGGTTAGTGCCCATTTTTTATTTCTCTTTTGATACCTTTGATATATATCTATAGCTATATATATATATATATATCATCAATTTGTCTCTGATTGAATGCATATAGATACCCGAAATTTGTCAAGTTTTTAACAGATTAACTATAGGCTATAGCAGATGATACTTAGTATCAATATTTTATAATCTGTGTTATGGATATGCTTTTTATAAACATCATTTCCTTCTCCACACAGGGATTCTCAACTGGTTTACCAGAGAGACTACAGTTACCACTCTTGAGGACTTTGCCTGGGCTTGAAAATTGTTCAATGCTGAGGCCTGCTTATGCTGTAGAGTATGACTTCTTGCCTGCTTATCAATGTTCTCGGTCTCTTATGACAAAGAAAATCGATGGGCTTTTCTTCTCTGGTCAAATAAATGGAACTACAGGCTATGAGGAGGCTGCAGCACAAGTAATTCTTTAGAGTATCTTTACTCAGTGAAATACAATCTATCTGTAGTTGTTGATGCAATGCTACATCTGAAAGAATAATGCATTAGGCTTGTACTTGTTTAAAAGGAACTTTGTGCCTTTGGGTTGTTATTTCTAAAACAATAATTTATTTTTTCTAATTTTTTTTATTCTTGTTTATGCTTTTCTGAAGGGCATTATTTCTGGTATCAATGCTGCCAGACATTCAGATGGCAAGTCCCTCATTGTTCTTGAGAGAGAAAGCAGTTATATAGGAACATTGATCGATGATCTGGTCACGAAGGACCTTCGAGAGCCTTACCGCATGCTAACCAGGTAATGAGCTCATGATATTATCCCAATATATATAAGATCATTGTTATTTCCAGTCATCCTTTTAATTTTTGGAATCAGTAAGTGCTGAGTATTAGTGGGTGGTTGAGGTTGCATGTTTGATGGTTCGGCTTAATCACTTCACAGTTCACATCATAAATGGTCACGTGAATGTTTTTGAAGATACAGGCAGAACTTGGAAGACTATTTAATTGCGTAATTTTAGATCATTTTAAACAGTCTTTCTAAATTCTAACATTTTCTACATGACTACATCATTGTTTTGGCGAATAGTTGGTTCTTTTTATGACACCAAGATGTTCAATAATAAAATTTAAGTGTAACGCTACTCACACCCATAACAGACCATATATTTTTTCTCTATTGCAACAAATATCTCATTATTTTCTAGATAAACAAGCCAATCGATGTTACTATAACACAGCCAATTGGTGTCATAAAAAGAACCAACTGTTCTCCTAAACAATGATGTAGCTATGTAGAAAACTTGAATGTAACACTACTCCCACCCGTAAAGGACCATCTCTTTTTCTCCATTGGGTATCACTGCCCTTGGTAGATCACTGGCCTCCCCATCAATTTTCAAGGTACAATGAGGACGAGCAACTATATGGCAGTAAGACTATGCTCAACTTTTGGAAGTTAAACGGTGGAAGTAGAAGTTGTTGTTGTGGCCTTCTAGGCTTCTACACAAAAGAACCTGTGAATTTAGAGGGGCACTGCTAGTGCTACCTCTAGATGCCATGGGCGGAATACCAATCGTAGATAGTTTGATTTATCTGCTTAGCGTCAGTTAATTCTTCATACCATAAAATAAGTTCATAATTCATCTGTAGATTTTCAAGTTGGTTTAACATTCCATAACATCCTATCCTTTATTTTCCAATATAGTCGATCAGAGCACCGGTTACTTCTCCGATCTGATAATGCTGATAGCCGTCTCACACCACTGGGGCGTGAAATTGGGTTAATAGATGATAGACGATGGAAACTCTACCAGGACAAACAAGCTCGAATTTCAGAAGAAAAGAAGCGATTGAAATGTGTCAGAATTTCAGGTTCTCATCTCTTTATCTAATTCTTCTTATAATTTGTAGCCTCTTTACACTTTTGGCATTGTTGTGTACTGTTGTGTACTTTAGGTTGTTTAACTTGGCATATTTTAGTGAAACCATCAAGCTGAAGTACATTTTCCCCTTCTAGTTTACCAGCATTTTTCAATTGGTCCTGATTTCAACTTGATGGGTTAACCTTGCAATTCCTTTAGTTCATTTCTACGTTGTGTCTTTAGTTGCAATACAAACAATTGTGCCAACCCTATTTTTTTCAGTTAATACCAATATTTGGCTTTTGTTTAATCTTGTTAACAAAAAGAATAAGCATTCATGAAATTTCGAATGGGATCTCAAGTCTAAGTAGCAAGGTAAGCATATAATTCACTCCCTGTTCATGCGAGCATCAGTTGTGCTCTATAACCCACCCTATAGTCTAGTATGGCCAGTGTTTAAAAAACGCGCGTTGGGACGCATGTCACACACCTCATAGCTGTACGCTTTGGCTTACACTTTGTTCCTTAGGGTTAAGCTATATGGGCAAAACTGGGCATGGGTTGGTTGATTCAATACCATGTCTTCTTTTTTGCCTTTTGCTTTATCCTTTTAAGTTGGTTTGAATATTAAAAAAGTCGAATAAACTGAGATCTGTGGGTTTGGAGATATATAACTGGAACTTATAGTTATTATTCTATGCTTCTTTCAGGAGGGGAATTGGCAGCTGATGTTACTCGTCTTTCTAGTCAGCCAGTGAAGGACTTTACAACTTTGGAGAGTCTTCTAAAGAAACCACACATAGAATATAAAGTTCTTGATAAGCATGGTTTTGGGAATGAACTGTTGTCTAGAATAGAAAAAGAATGTGTGGAGATTGACATCAAGTATGCCGGCTTCATTCTGCGCCAACAGAGCCAACTCCAACAAGTGAGGAACTATTATGTATTTCAATAGAACCTTTGCCATTACTTTAAATCATGCAACTCGCTGATTTATTTCCTATTTAGATGCTTAGCAACTTTTAATTTTTATTCATCCATAATCTCATATTGTCCAACTCTTCTTCTGTGTTTAGATGGTCCATCAACAGCACAGATTACTTCCAGAGGACTTAGATTACTATTCAATAACAACTTTATCTCTTGAATCACGCGAGAAGCTCTCCAAGGTGTGCACAATATATAATTTCATTATGTCATAACCTTTTACCAATATGTCCAGAACTCTGATGTGGCAGAAACTAATATGCTTTTCATATTGTCGACAAAATGTCTGTAGTACCAAACTCCTGTTCTCTTTTTTAACCTTTCATCTATATGTCATTTTATATGCATAGACGCCTAAATGTAATGACTTGATGAAAATTGGAAGCATGACACTGATTCTTTCATGTGATAGTAAATCTCTTATGAAAGTGATAGTTTCCTCTTTTACCAAGCTGTCCCTGTATCATGCATCGTATAGTAATTGTATCATTGTATGCTACTGTTTTTCTGAATATGTTTCATTCAGTTTTAATGAAACAACAAATGATGTTTTCAGGTGAGGCCACAGACCGTTGGTCAAGCCAGTAGAGTTGGTGGGGTGAGCCCTGCCGATATCACTGCTCTCCTCATTATCCTTGAAGCTAATAGGAGGAGAGCACATGAACAGAAGAAGCTCGAACTGCTAAATTCTATCAAGACGGATACAGATCAGCATGTAGATGAATTGCCGTTGACTGGGACACTCAGTTCATGATGTTTCCGTGCCTGTCGAAGTTAGCATTTGAGTTGGATTCAAGTGTATTAAGTGAATCCTAAAGTATCAATGTATAGAGAACGCATCATGGTACGAGGTGAATTGGAGATCTGTCTGGGCAGATACCCGGGTCGGAATTGCATACGGATAGCTTGTTTTGCAACGGAACTATGAGGATCTGCTGCTATTAGCTCCTGTGTACTCGAGGAACGCATATCGATCCTCGTCCTAGCATAGTGTTAAATTCATGTCTGCAACAGAAGTGAAGATAGAAGTTAAAAGTACTGGTTGAAGTACAATGTCATTTTTTCAGGCTGCATCTGGTGAAGGAAGAACCCCTTTTCAAGCATTAGTTATTGAGATTTCCTATTCCGTTAAAAAAACAAACCGGATATAATTGAAGTTATGAAGTTGGTACTTGGGTGGTCATTCACATTTGAATTGGATCCCATCCGGATCCACTTTGTGGGATCTTAGGATCTAAGATCCCCACATCTTAATCATTCATCGTGTATCGTACGGTCAGAAATTATTTAACTTTTTTATTTAAAATTAAACACAAATAGTATTTGACGAAAATTGATCACACGATGTACGATGAACTGTTAAGATGTGAGAGTCCTTAGGATCCTCACAAAATGGATCCGGAGATGATCCTCTTCCATTCACATTTGATCAGGATCTCCACCGGGAGATGTAAAATATATAACATTTTTGAGTGACTGAAAAGCTATGCAATGGACAAAATATAAAATATTTATTTTGGCTGGAAAAATGTGATTAAAAATATGGGGTGTGATATCTACACACCTTATTTTACTTCTCACACCCTTCTAATTTTTGGCTGTCGGATCAGATGAATTGAATAAGATCAACGGATAAAAATTAATAAGGGTGTGAGAGAAGTAATGTGTGGATAGCACATCCCAAAAATATAAAGCTACATCTTTTTTAGGTGGATCCCACCAGGTAGAAAATTCAAGATTTTAAATTTACATTTTTTTTTATTGGAGTAGAATTTATATTTTCATGACAATAGAAAAAAATATAAATTTAAAATTTTAAAGAATGAAGTGAGATTAAAATCGAATTTTAAGAGCGTAGCCAAAGGTAAAGCCTAAACTTAACCGTTATTTACACAGAAACAAAGGAAAACTAATGAAAAGGGTTTGAAAACTTTGAGTTTTAATGATAAGGACAAAATAAAGGGTAAAGTGAATAGTACCAGGATTGACTTTTTAGTGTAAAAATGTGGTTTTTCGTTAAAGTGAACAGTACCAGATGCTTTTCGTTAAAGTTCCCCAGAAACAAAGCCAAAATGGAGCATATATTGAGTTTCACATAGCTGAGCTAAAAATAGGTCAAATAAAAAAGAGTAAATTGTACAAATGGTCCCTCAACTTTAATCAAATTGGAGCAATGGTCCCTCAACTAAAAATTCATTACCATTGGTCCCTCAACTTATCAAAATGTGTAGCTATAGTCCTTTTCATCAATTTTGTCAAAATAAGCTATGTTGGAATGACCATTTATATAATTAGGGTCCCTCAACTCATCAAAGTGTATAATTATAGTTCTTTTCGTCAACTATGTCAAAAAATTTGTCAAAACGAGTTATATTGTAAGGACCATTGCTACAATTGGATTAAAGTTAAAGGACAATTTCTCCACTTGAATTAAAGTTCAGGGACCAATGGTAATGAATTTTTAGTTGAGGGACCATAGCTGCACGTTTTGATAAGTTGAGGGACCAAAGGTAATGGATTTTTAGTTGAGGGACCATTGCTCCAATTGAGTTAAAGTTAAGGGACCATAGCTACAATTTACTCAATAAAAAAACCTGTTGAAGCTCTTTAGAATTTCAAGAATGGACGGATCAGATGGGTATTACCGAAAACTAACGGTCAGGATTATAATCTTCATCGGCTTATCCAAAGGAGCAAAAGCTAGAACATAACCAACCAAAACTCAATCTTGAGAGAGCGAGCACGAAAATGGGTCTTCTTCTCTACTCCAATCCTCTCCCTCTCACCACCGTTTCTTCCCGTTCTTCTTCTTCTTCTTCGCCGTCTCCAACTTCATCACCTACACCTTTCTCTGCAACTAGTAAGCTCTCTCTCTCTCTCTCTCTCTCCATTTATTTAGTATATCAGCTTTTGCATTTTTCAGTTGTGTATTGTTTAATTTACTTCAAATGCTCGCCTATTTTCTCCAAACCACGCAGCTCAATTGGGTGTTCTTGGTTGATTTCTGCTCGTTCAGGTCTTTTGTCAAACACTTGGCGTGCACGCATTCGTAGCTATGCATTCAGCCTTAACTAATCCAATTTTCACCTGCATTTTCGTTTTTTCTAATAATCCAATGCATAAATGTGCTAAATTTTTCCAAAATGGAAACATACAGTGTGATTCGAGGAGCGTTTTTGTAGTTAATTTGCCTGTTTATCTGCTTTCTTGTTTATTTTTCGGCTCGTATTCGTATGATAATTTTGTTTTGTGTCTCTGGTTTTCAGTTTCATGGATGCACATGAAACCAAATGGTCTGCGTCCGAAATTTTTCAGCGGAGTTCGACTTCGTATGCCCGTTGTGAAAAGGTCAGGTTCAGTAGTTGTTAAGGCCTCCTCTGACATTGATGGAACTGCTGCTGCAAATGACGGTAGTGAGCCCCTTCCAGATAGCAAGGAAGAGGTGGCGGTACCTGTCGACAAGCTTCCCTTGGAGTCAAAGCTGCAAGAGCGCCTAGAGCAGAAGGCGAAGATGCAACTGGCGAAGAAGATAAGGCTCCGTAGGAACCGACTTGTTCGCAAGCGAAAACTGAGAAAGAAAGGCAGATGGCCTCCATCAAAGATGAAGAAGCTAAAGAATGTCTGAGTTTTACCTCAAACTTTCTTGCAGGTTTAGTTCTGACCCTTTTTTGTTTCTGCGGTCTCTCGTCGTTTTGTTATTGCAAGATCAAATGTCTCTTCGTATTGACGTAATTTCTTGGTTTGAATCTTGTTGATGTCAATGAAAATAGTATTGCCCAATATGATCTGAACTAGGAATTTATAGATGGCAGAAATGCATTAGCTTTTTCCGCGTCGAAGGATGTGAGAAATGTGGTTGATTTAGGCAATCCTTTCATCTAAAAAAATGTAGAAATTGTCTCAAGTTCTGCTCCAACATTTACATTAAACCAATAATGCAGGGTAGGCTGCTTGGAACCCCTAGAAATGTAGAAATTGTCTCCTAATGTTTTATGAACTCCCATAATGATCTCTCGAACATGATGAATCCGAAAATATTTTTTGCCACTTAAGCATGTGCAGATTGACATTCTGTCACGGTGGATTTGTAAGTATTCCATGATTGTGTCTCTATGTGTAGGCTCTTCAAACATCGACCCTATAGGTTGGAGTTCTATTCGGAGATTTGTTAAACAAAACTCTTTAAAACTTTTTAGGATCATAACCAAACCACCGTAAAACTGCTGAAGTTATCTGAGATTCTAGATGATAGGGTTCCTTTATTCTAGGGTTTATTCCTGGACGTGCTAATAACCCTCCTACACTTGAGGGACAAGTTTGTTTGTTTTCTGTTTTGACTTAGTCGATTACCACGATTCTAGGGTTTGTTTATCGTGGGTTGTTATTTCACTTTCTGGTTGATGTAAAGCTATATAATAGCTAGTTGATGTCTTTCAGTTTAATAAGAATTCTCCCGAGTTTATCAGTGCAATATACTTTGTGTTCACAAAAGCTTTACGTTAACCTAGTTCAGTTCCAACATCTGGTATCAGAGCCCTATCACGGGGCCTGACCAAAAATCTGCAAACACAGTTGTGTGCGTAGAGAACAAGAACATGACGTCCGAGAATAGCTTTGTGCAACCTACCATCCCGAGGCTCGATGGGCACTATGATCACTGGAGTATGCTTATGGAAAACTTTCTGCGTTCCAAGGAGTATTGGAATCGGGTGGAAACAGGAATTACTACAGTCGCAGGAGGAGCTGACTCTAGTGATTTGTAGAAGAAGGCATTGGAGGAGCTGAAGTTAAAAGACTTGAAGGCCAAGAACTAACTGTTTCAAGTCATTGATCGTTCAATCCTGGAAACGATCTTGAAGAAAGACACGGCGAAGGACATATGGGATTCCTTAAAGTAGAAGTATCAAGGGACAGTGCGTGTGAAACGTGCTCAGTTGCAGGCACTTCGAAAGGAGTTCGAAGTATTGCATATGAAGACTGGAGAAATTGTCAATGATTACTTTGGAAGAACACTCATTATAGCTAATAAGATGAGGGTGCATGGAGAAAGAATGGAAGATGTAGTGATCATTGAGAAAATTTTAAGGTCTATGACTTCAAAATTTGACTATGTTGTTTGTTCGATCGATGAGTCGAATGACTTGGATACTCTATCCATTGATGAACTTCAGAGCAGTCTTCTTGTGCATGAACAAAGGATGAGTCGGCATGTGGTGGATGAACAAGCTCTCCAAGTAACCACTGGAGTCCAACAAGGAGGAAGAAGTGGTGGTCGTGGCTTCTATCGTGGAAGAGGAAGAGGAAGGGGTAGATTTGGGTTCGACAAGTCTATCCTGGAATGCTACAATTGTCACGAGCTAGGGCATTTTCAGTGGGAATGCCCTAAGAAAGCTAAGGACTCTAAGGCTAATTTTGCAGAAACAAAGGAAGAAATGCTGCTAATGGCGCAGGTGGATGTTAAGGAAGCTGAGATGGAGCATGTTTGGTTTCTTGATTCTGGGTGTAGCAACCATATGTGTGGTAGCAATGAAGCATTTATTGAAATAGATGCCAATTTCCGAGAGTCAGTCAAGCTGGGAAACAACTTCAGTCTCAGTGTGCAAGGTAAGGGCAAAGTGCGAATGAATGTGATGGGACCATGCATGTGATTACAAAAGTCTTCTTTGTACCTGAATTAAAGAATAACTTGTTGAGTATCAGTCAACTACAAGAGAGGGGACTTGCAGTGCTAATGCAACATGGCAAGTGTAAGATCTTCCACCCTGAGAAAGGTCTCATACTTGAAACTGATATGACATACAATAGGATGTTTGCCTTGGTTGCTCGCTGCCCAGTAAAGACACAAAGTTGTCTCTCCCTGACAACTATAGATCAAGCAGATCGTTGGCATTGTCAATATGGACATTTAAGTTGGAGCGGACTGAAAGTGCTACAACAAAAGAATATGGTTGAAGGGCTGCCAAAGTTCAAAGCCTCTCAGAAAGTGTGTGAAGGCTGTCTTGTGGGGAAGCAGCATCGTGACTCTTTTCCTAGGGAAAGTGCGTGGAGAGCCTCGAAGATCCTTCAGTTGATACATGCTGACATTTGTGGTCCCATAAACCCAATCTCAAACAGTAAGAAGAGATATCTCATAACTTTTATTGATGATTATAGTAGAAGAACTTGGGTTTATTTTCTGGTGGAGAAATCAGAAGCTTTTGCAGTGTTCAAGATGTATAAAGCCAAAGTGGAGAAGGAAACAGGAGCATTCATAAGAAGTTTGAAGACGGATCGAGAAGGTGAGTTCACATCACATGAATTCACAGATTTTTGCAATGAGAATGGCATTCACAGACAGTGTTAGCTGCCTACACGCCTCAACAAAACGGCATTGCTAAGCGAAAGAATCGAACCATTATGAATATGGTTCGATGTATGTTATTAGAGAAGCATATTCCAAAGACTTTCTGGCTAGAAGCAGTGAACTGGGCAGTTCACATGTTGAATCGAAGTCCAACCCTTGGTGTGAAAAGCAAGACACCTGAGGAAGCATGGAGTGGGCGCAAACCATTGGTGGAGCATTTTAGGTCTTTGGTTGCATCTCTCATGTGCACATACCTGATAGTAAAAGAGTGAAACTTGATGACAAAAGCATCAAATGCATATTGTTGGGGGTAAGTGAAGAATCCAAAGCTTATAGATTGTTTAACCCCATCTCAAACAAAATTATTATAAGTCGAGATGTGGTATTTGAGGAAGATCAACAATGGATTTGGGATGAAAGTCATGAGGAAGCTATCTTAGTTGATCTTGATGAAGAAACAGTTACAGAAGATGAAGGAAATGAAGAAGAAGATAAAGAAGAATCTGAAGCTCATGAGTCGGATGGTGATAACTCATTCGAATCAGAAGATGTCACAAATGAAGGCAGTGCACCTCAAGAGGGACGAGCTCGAAGGCCACCAATTTGGATGAGAGACTATGACACTGGTGAAGGTCTCTCTGATGAAGAAAGTATGAACCTGACTCATCTAGCCTTGTTTACTAACGGCGATCCCACTATTTATTGTGAAGCCATGAAGAGTGAGAAGTGGAAACAAGCAATGGATCGAGAAATAAAAGCAATAGAGAAGAATAATACATGGGAGTTGATTGACCTACCATCAGGAGGAAAAACTATTGGAGTAAAGTGGGTTTTCAAGACAAAATTGAATGAAAATGGAGAGGTGGACAAGTACAAGGCTCGGCTTGTTGCCAAGGGGTATAGCCAACAATATGGAGTAGATTTTTCTGAAGTGTTCGCACCAGTGGCACGATTGGATACAATTCGAGTGGTTATTTCCCTTGCTGCACAAAGGAGTTGGAAGATCTACCAACTCGATGTCAAATTAGCTTTCTTGCATTGAGAGATTAATGAAGAAGTCTTTGTTGAACAACCACCTGGATATGAACAGAAGGGAAGCGAAGCCAAGGTATATCGTCTCAAGAAGGCGCTATATGGGCTCAAGCAGGCTCCATGAGCATGGTACAGTCGAATAGAGGCGTATTTTATCAAGGAGGGCTTCAGCAAATGTCCCTTTGAGCACACATTGTTTATCAAGACAACCAATGAAGGTAAAATATTAACTGTATGCCTATATGTTGATGATCTTGTTTTCACTGGGAATGATGGAGTGTTGTGAGCAATTTAAGAAATCCATGATGATTAAGTTTGATATGACTGATCTCGGACAAATGAGGTACTTTCTTGGCATCGAAGTAATACAGACATCAAATGGTATTTTTATGAGTCAACGTAAGTATGCACATGAAGTGTTAGAAAGGTTTAACATGGGTCAGTGCAACTCAGTGCATAACCCTGCGGTTCCTGGTTTCAAACTCACTCGTGATGAAGGAGGAGCGAGAGTAGATAGCACATTTTATAAGCAGATGGTTGGAAGTCTTATGTACGTAACAGGTACACGACCTGATCTTATGTACATCGTAAGCCTAATCAGCAGGTACATGGAGTATCCTATTGAGACTCATTTGTTGGCAGCCAAAAGGATTTTAAGGTACATAAAGGGCACTGTTGAGTTTGGGGTATTCTACAAGAAGGGAGGAGATGAAGGGCTTATCGGCTATACGAACAGTGACTATGCTGGTGATCAAGATGACAGAAAGAGCACGTCAGGTTATATATTTATGATGAATTCAGGAGCAGTCTCATGTTCCTCGAATAAGCAACCAGTGGTCACTCTTTCCACCATTGAAGCAGAGTTCATTGCTGCAGCTTTAAGTGCGTGTCAAGTAGTGTGGTTAAGAAGGATTTTGAGTAGTTTGAATTTCAGGCAAACTGGTCCGACAATGGTTTATTGTGATAATGTCTCAACCATTAAGCTTTCAAAGAATCCAGTAATGCATGGTCATAGTAAACATATAGATGTAAGGTTTCATTTCCTTCGAGATCTTGTCAAAGATGAGGTAGTGGAGTTGCTGCAGTGTTCTACGCAGGAGCAAATAGCAGACATAATGACGAAGCCGCTGAAACTTGAAGTATTTCAGAAGCTGCGAGATTTAATGGGTGTTTGCAAATGCCCTAGAATAAACTGAATATCAATGGTATTCAGTTTAAGGGAGGATGTTGAAGTTATCCGAGATTCTAGATGATAGGGTTCCTTTATTCTAGGGTTTATTCCTAGACGTGCTAATAACCCTCCTACACTTGAGGGACAAGTTTGTTTGTTTTCTGTTTTGACTTAGTCGATTACCACGATTCTAGGGTTTGTTTATCGTGGGTTGTTATTTCACTTTCTGGTTGATGTAAAGCTATATAATAGCTAGTTGATGTCTTTCAGTTTAATAAGAATTCTCCCGAGTTTATCAGTGCAATATACTTTGTGTTCACAAAAGCTTTACGTTAACCTAGTTCAGTTCCAACAAAAACACCAAACAGCCACCTCGCTATTCTGATTCCGGGGGTTTTCTCCATTTTTCCACTAGAATCAATTTAGAAATATAAACTCGATCCTCCCTCCCGGACTCATGAGGAGGTCGGTCTCTCCTAGTGTTTTTGCAAGGTTTTGCTTCTCCTAGCCATTTCTGCATGTTTTTTTTATCATCCCTTTGGCTTGTTCGGGGTTGTTCTCCAGTTTTATGACTGGATCTTTCTCCCAAGTCATCTAGTGCGAACGCAAGCTTTCAACTAGTGCTAATTTATTGTTTGGTTGTTTTTGTTGCGTTGTGTTTCCATCTTTGCAGGGCAAAACCCTCTCTAAGAGCAGTTTTTCTTCGGTACGCCGTGTAGCATACAGGCATTTTTGTGACCGTCAGATTTCATCCTGCGGTTAAAAATGATTACCTTGTGACATCCTTAGAGTATAGAATATCGTGGGGGTTGGTTATGAATTGGAAGAAAAAAATACAACAAATTCCCCTTTTCACAAAACAAAATAACTCTTATTTTCAACTTCTATGCATACGCCCTTTCTAAAGGGTTACCATTTTTTGAAATAAAAAATGAGGATAACACGTGCAGCCGTCGGATCTTTTTTAATGAAATCGCGCAGCTAGAATCCCAAAAAACTCTTCACGTGGCAACCGTTCAATGGATGGATACTGTACTTCTTAACCACGTAACAAGCGTTTAATAAATGGTGATGCCTCAAAACTAAAACTTTATTGGATATGTGAATCTCTTCAGATCCCTATAGTCTGCACTATGATCCTAACATTCTTTTTCGACCAAGAGTCATACGTACACTATCACCAGAGATAATTATGCACTTTGTATTATATGAGTGCCTCGCTCATCACGTGACCAGATCGAGAGATGAGGGACACTTGTAATTTCCCCTAGCATAGAGGCACCCATGATTGTTTTTTGGTTGTGATTATCATGGATTGAAAGGCCATCATCACCAGCAATTCCAAAGCAAAAACAAAAAAAAATAAATTAAAAATTCAATGTATTAGCCAAAGCTTCTACATGTAATCGTTAAAATGGCTCGACAATGAATGCTTATAAATTTTCTAATTAACTCAAAAGTAGCGACATTGAAGTCAAACCTAATGTCAAATCCAGCAGAGGTTCCTCAAGCTTTTCCCTTCCTTCTTCTACCGTGGTCCATAAGCATAAGCTGTGTCCAAAACTACACCTCTAAACTATAAGCTCAGAATTAGAGCAACCACGACGACAAATATGCATGGCCTTGCAACAGCACCAGCTGAGGTTGACCTGCAGACATCAGATAGCTGTAATAAGTATCGTTCGTTACTAGTAACCAGTTCTTCCTTCTGTTTATATTACACCGGAATTCATGAATGATATAAAACAATAGGTAGTAACAGATATAGACTGAAACCTAGAAGCCACCACCGGCCTCAACTCCCTTGCATTATTTCATTTCTTTTTCTTTACCATTAAGTTTTATTGTATTAAAGACCGACCCACAAATAAACGTGCAAAGATGCTGTCCCATGTTCAAATGCAAGAAATAGCAAGGTGGACTGAAAGCAAACGCCATGAAAGAAATGCAACCGTACATGAGCCAACAATAACCGAATTCCTCTCTCTTCCCAGGAATGCATCAAACAGTAGTGAAAAGCATATAATTCAAATGGAAAAAAAGGGTAGAAGGATCACATAGAGGACTTCATGTGATCCCGTTTATAGCAAACGGGATGATAGAGACCATTATTTACCGTATAGGACCCTCATGTTCTGGTGCAAAACAAGGGGAAAACAGTGAAATATATAAGAGGTCCTATATGGTGGAATACAAGGTCCCTACGATGGTCCTATACAGATGTACATGTATGAAATGTTACCTCGCTACAAGCTGCTTGACTGACTCAGTTGCAAGTCCATGCCCTAACGGGAAAAGTGGATCATAGTGTGAATCCCCAACATTCATTGGGAGTTGATCTACAGTTCTGAACCATGTCCTTGCAAGCTTTCCGCTGAATCCATGATCGCCAAAAAGGACATCAGTAATACCTTGGCCTTCAGAGCCTGGCAACCATGCTGCCACCAGAGCATCAATCGAGGAAATGTATGGTTCAATTACGATAGGTCTGCCAGTAATTAAGATAACAATGCACTTGACACTTTCACACACATTGCTGATGACACTAGGGCCAGGTTCCGCCATTGTTAGATTTGTGCTGTCTCCCAAAGTCTCAGCATAAGGGTGCTCACCAACCACAACAATAGCATATGCAAAGTTGTTGGACTTAACAAAATTGCCATCAGGATTTTCTCTGTAGACAACTTCTGTGCTTGAGTCAACTGTTGAGTTTATAGCACCAAGAATCGTAGTCCCTAATCATGAAAACAAAGTCTGTCAAGATCACTGCTCAAGTAGTTTCCTGGAATTAAACATTCTTTAAAAAAAAAAAAAGTGATTGAAATGTATTTGGACATATTCCAGTGCATGAAATAATACTTGAAGAGAAGTTTAGGAAATGTAATCTATTAATATAGCCATGAAAGCAGACTATACCGCTTGTATAGTTGTTGCCACTGAATCCTTGCCATGCCATTGTCCATCCACCGCATTGGTAACCCAGATTATCAGCATGACCGCCGGCAACTAGAATTTTGGACACCTTCTTGGGAAGAGGTATGACGGGATCTGTATTGTTCTTGCTTTTCCCATTCTTCAAAAGCACAAGGGATTTTCTGACAGCCTCCCTTGCCAAATCTCTATGAGCCTAGTAATGGCAAAAAATAAAATACAAAAAGGATGGATTCATATCAGTTAGTCACTAAATAAAAAACTTAACTCTTTAGTCTTTGCTAACATTGAAAATTGAGAAGGGAAGACCATGGAACTTGGACATCTTGGCCATTGAATGTAACACCAATTGCAAAAGGATAACTAGAAAAATTGGATTCAATAAGACTGTCCATTCTAACTTTATCGAACTATATACATCAATCAAATGACCAACATGAGAATTGCAATGCTGATATTTGATTATCTTTGATAAACTGACCTGGCTTCCAAGCTCATTGACTAGGCTGAGATCAGCCAAAGGGTTCTCAAAGAGACCCATGGTGAACTTGACAAGTAGAATCCTTCCCACAGCATCATCAATACGATCCATTGGAACCACGTTAGTCTTGACAAGGTTAATGAGATCATTAATGAACTCTTTATAATTGAAAGGGACCATGACCTTCAAAACACAGAGAACCATCTTCAGATTTTATAATTGCAAACCCAGAAAAAAAAATTATTACATATGCATTATTTTTCTCATTGTTTCACTGACTACAGTGTAGCAGAGACGCTATTATCTTCTTTCATTTCTGTAAGAGGTTTTTATATAAAATAAGACACGAACCATGTCAATTCCAGCTAGAACTGAAGCTTGGACAGAGTATGTGTAGTTTGAATGTGGTGGCGAGGTAATCCTGTCAATACCCTCCCAATCCGATATAACAAAACCCTGAATGTTCCACCAAAACACAATGTGCTGTTAGCATGAAACTGTGCAGAACACAGGTAAACGTACAATAGCCAAAATGAAGCACACCACACCTATTGTGAGACCAATAACAACCAGAATAGAAGATGAGTAATATTATCAATTTATATCTTAGTTTCGTATTAAATCTGAAATTTCATTTCATTAACACAGATGAAGCTTAAAGACACTAAAAATTGAGAACTGATGCAAATCAGGATAAATCATATAAGTGATACAATATTGATATATGCCCAGCTCATAAATTGTATCTAGAGTGATGAGCAAAAACTGCATCAGACGTTTGTTTGAATGTAGTAAGATGGATACAAAGACAACAATCTGTATTGACAACATCGTTGGGCACCGAGCAGTCAAGAAACAAGTTCGAAAAATGCAATGAAATGAAGATGATGTTAGACGGGAAATACAAGAATACGTAAATGCAATGAATCCATATATAGACAAAGTGTAAACATAGGAAAGTGAAGAATTATGCTAACCACTAGGCAATGTCCCCCAAAAAAAAAAAAAAAAAAATCAATCACATTAATGTGTAATGTGGAAGTAATTTGAATTTGATTAAACATGCTGGGGCCAACATGTGGAAAATACCCAATGTTGAGGAAAAATAGATAAGACTGACAAGTATTTGAAGAATAAAAATAGACTGAGGGCAAGAACAGTTATAAAAAGCAGTCAACTAGTCACGATTACGAACATATACTTTGAAATCCTGTGATTCAAGCTATAAGATGTCGAGGAAGAGAATACCACACAAATAAAACTACCGATAATTGCAATATGCAAAATTTTGGTACCAGAAACCTTTCTTGTATTGATGGTAAGATGTTAAACACTGGGGTGTGTTTGTTTCATGATTACATCAAATCTTGGTAAACAAGCTTGGATATAAATAAAAGTAAATAAAATGCTACCTTAAATTTAAGGGTGCCCTTGAGGAAGTTCGTAATTAGATCACGGTTTGCATGCATCTTATCCCCATTCCAACTGGAGTAGGAAATCATCACGGTTGAGACGCCCTTGATGATCGAATCAGAATAGGCAGGCATGTGGATGCTAAGCAACTCGTGCCGGTCAGTCACAGTGTTGTTCTCATTAATGCCCCTGCTTGTCCCACCATCACCGACAAAGTGCTTTGCACAAGCTGCAACCTTTTTCCTACAACATAATAAATAAAAAATATACCAGGAATCACTAAAAGCTTGAGTATAGTAACAGAAGCAAACATGCAAACATGAGGTGAACTTCTAACATATAATTTCAGCAGTTGAAACTTGAAGCAGAGTTTTCACAAATAAATAATTGAAGTACAAGAATATTAATAAGGAAAATATTTTAGTAAACTGGCTATCTTTGTGGGATACGATATACATGGTTCACTTATGCATCATGTAAGGCAAACCATGAGATAGACCTGTGGAGAGATTTTTATCAATTGTGATTGTTAAGTTTATCATTGTTCTATAAAAGCTTAATAGCAGCAACAAACATCAACCAAAATTTAAAGAAAATAAAGGGGAAAATAAATAAAGGAATCAGTAAATTCATTTTATTTATTATTGAATTCATAACTAGAAAAACATGATATATGTTCCAAATTATCTTTCTTTTTTCCAGAGGAGTAAAATTATCTTTCTTACTCACAAAATCAAGTAAATTAAGATCAGGAACAATACTAAGGTATGACTGTATCTTTTAAATCAAACAAACGGAAAATTAAAATTAAAATGAACAGAGAAAAGACAAAGAAAAGATAGAAGTATGCTTATTTTCATAAATTCATACTTTCCACCAACATATGGCACTCCTTTACGAGAATTAGCAGGGATATCTCCCTGCAAACCTGGAATAATCTCTGTCATTTCCTCCACAATTTTGTGATCTTCACTGTAGCTTTCATAACATCGACCCCATCTTGGATCTCTACATACCTATATAGGAAGTTCCAGGTAATGCACAGAAGTCACCAGATGGAGAAAATAAGGACATCGTTATCCACGTAAAAGAAGAAAATGCAGAACACATAAATCCTTTTTGCAATATGTTATTTACCGCAATGCATGGAGCAAATACATAAGGAATCCCAGTAGCTCGGGCTTCAAGAGCAGTTGCAGAACCAATTCTTCGTACCAGATCAGGGTCCCTGTATACTGGAAATATTTAATAGGAAGAAGACACATTCAATGAACTAAATGGAAAACATCTCAAAGGATTTTGAAATGCGTGGTTAGTTATTTTAAAGCTTGCTGGAGTAGGACAGAAATTTACTTGTAGGGATTTGACTCTAACGGATCCTTGTTGTAGTTATACAGTTATAGAGTGCTTCTTTTAAAAGATAGTGATAGATCTCATCCTTTGTGTAAAAATACAACAATGCACTATCATGTTGTGAAACGAAGCAAATCGAATCTGAAATTTTTACTTGCCTGGTAGCTCCAAGCCCAACATTATGCGGAAATATTGTAGCATTATAGACATTATTGTGTCCATGAACAGCATCAATGCCATAGATCATTGGAATGCCCAAACGACTAGATAGAGCTCCCTTCTGAAATTCATTAATCATGTTAACCCAGTCTTCAGCACTAGCTTCTGGAAGTGGTGCACTGCCACCACCGCTCAATACACTACCTGCACAAACCAACAGACATCATCACTCAACTGTCTTATCAACTCATTGTGTTCAATATTTTTCTTTGTACAGAGAGTCTTACTCCCTCCAAGGCAACCAAGCATGGGGGGAAAAGGAGAACAATCTCAAGCCTTGCTAATTGAATAAAGAAGAACCAATCTCATAACCGGATACGTTTTTACTCCCTCCAAAGTCAAGTGATATTTTCCTGTTTAGTGAAATGCAATAAAGAGATGAAATGTGTGGTTTTTTTTTTTTTTTTTTTTTTTTTGGTGTCAACAAAGCAGGAATCTTTACATATGTTTGGGAAAAGTTGCACAGTAAGTACAAATTCCTAATATTGACACCTCAAACATCCTATGCACAAACATCTATCGCTGCCGGACAACCCCAAATGGATTGCAGGGATTTTCTACCAACTGCACCCCTTCCTTTAGCCACTTCAACCGATACATTTGTATATATAAATTAAATTCACTAGAGAACACCCCATCTCATGCGTGAGCACCTTTTTATTAAGATAAAAGTCCACAAGAAAGATACACAAGAATGGAGTTGTGCCAAAAGTCACTTAACAGCTTGGTTTGAAGCTAAAGCAGGAAGGAAATGCGGAGACTATGCGACACAAAATGCAGTTACTTGAAGCTTGCACAGACACTAGAAATGAAACAATTTACGTTGATGTACATCAGACACAGTCGAAGGTAGTTGGCTTACCAATGGAGTAAGTTTTCATAGTATCAACAGAGGCAACACTCCTATCAATCTGCACCATCTGACCAATCTTTTCTTCAAGAGTCATTCTACTAAGAAGGTCTCCAACTCGAGCAGCCGGTGGTTGGGATGGATCTTTGTACTTGATGTAATCGGCTTTCACCGTTACAAAACCCATCCACCACCAAACCAACAACAAACCCACCAATGGTAACGAAACCCAAGCCATTGTAACACGGTCCCTTTCACTCTGGTAAACCAAACACGAAAGAGCGAAATTACAGAATGCCCATCATTTGTTCTAACCATTATATCTGTTTGGTGGCTGAGAAAATGCAAGACACGGAAAAAAGTATGCAAAGAGTTTTTGTTGAATGTGATTGTCCTTGTTGCACAAGGACATTATATTTTTAAAATCAATTAAATTACATACAATTATTTTGTATAATAATAATAATCTGAATGGACCCCAAAGCAATCATTTTCCAAATTTAAAATCCTAGTTGCTGATAGTAGCTTATTATATTTTCTCTTATCGGAGATCATGTGAAACACAATCTATATAATGAGGAACCAGCAAGATACAGCAACCATATAAATCCAAATATTTTCAACATAAAAAAATAAAAAAATTCACTGTCTTAATCTTCCTAAAATTCTCAGATGCTAAAACAAAAGCAAATACTCCAGCATTAACAATTAATATATATATATATATATATATATATATATATATAATCAAAGAAGAAAAAGAGCAGCATTGTGATTTACAGAGAGAGAGATCTTACAGTGAGAGTGTAAAAAGGAAAGAGAGAGAGAGTGTGTGAGAGAAGGAGAAAGAGAGAGAGAGATGAGGAATCAGTATTCAGCAGCGTTAATGCAACTGAAAGGAATGAATTTCAGTTTTATAGGCAGCTCGCTCAGGCAGCGAGTACAAAGAAGAAGAAGCCGATTTATAATTATTAATTAGAGAGAGAAAGAGGAAGGAAGAGTCTTGACTTGTGTCGTCATCTGAATTTTTTTATTTTTTTATTTTTTATCTTTGAAAATGGGAACAACAGTAGCAAGTCACGATTATTTATTTTTTTTAATGGCCGAAAAGACTCATAGAAGTATTTCAATCTCTTCATGGCCACAAGTCTGGCTTCCACTGGTGGTTTTCTTTTCAAATATTTTGCTCTTTCATTCTGGTGTTCTTTTATTTATTAAAGTAAAAAGGGAAAAAAAGAACGTGGGTTTGAAATTTTAATCGGTTGGTTTGTGCAGTTGTAACTTTACCTTTGTGAGAGTAACGTGGGAATGTTGAGAATCTCCTGAACGTGGCTTTTCGTAAATCACCATTCTCATCTTAATCCTAATTAATTCCTACCTAATCATCCTAAAAGAACCTTTTTTACCCATAAAACTCTCCTCAACTAAAATAGACAAGTTAATGCAAACGTTATCAGAACTCGTTGTTACCTCATAGTTTAGCCCAATGTTTTATAATATTGACACGAGAATTGACATTAAACTACGACGTGACAGAAAATTCATTGTGAGTCTCACTCTTGATATTTTGGCTTAAATTATTTGACTCCACGATACTCAATTAAATCCTTTTTTTTAGGATTGAATGCAACCCTATGGTTCCATATTTAGTAATTCCCGAACTTTTTCTTCTGTATTGAAGATCATGTCAGGATGAAATCTTTACTAATTAACCATTTATCAATAATCACTTTTTGTTTTAGGTCAATAAAAATGTGACATGGTTTGAAGCCCACTTGGTTTGAATGGGCCACCTTATGTTGCCCGGCCACTTGAATTCTTGTTTGCACAATTGGTTCCTTCTCACCCTCCCACTACAGTCAGTACAAGGTCAAATCCAAAGCCCACCCCAGGTTTCAATTCGATTCCTTCATGCAGGCTTGCAGACTCTTCCCATCCAATACAAATTGGGGTTGTCCAGTCTACACATCCATTTTAATTTTTGACCGTCAAATCAAATAAATTGAAAAAGATTAACATACAAAAATTAACAAGGGTTGTGTGAGAAGTAAAAATAAATATTTGGATAGCACCATTAACACAAATTCATGCAAATGTGTTTAAGTATGACCTATGAAGCACAGATACAGCGGCATAATACAACAAATTTGTAAAATTGAGGATACGATACGATATAAATACAATTATTAAATTATATATTAATAATATAAATTTTATTGGAGGTTAACAAAATATCACTTGCCGAAAATTAGAGCAATTTACAATAACGTCTTTGTAAAAAGAAAATGAAAGAAGTGAGGAAGATAAAACCCTAATTGATGGGTAAGGGCAACCAACCAGCTTTAGTTTTAGTTTGCAGGTGAGGTTATACCTCGTACAACACCAAGGGACGCTTGAAATCGTAAAACACCACAAAACCAAAGCAACCAAAAAGGAATATTGGAAGAGGAATAGTCCCACTAATAAGAAACCTCTACTCCCCAATCCCCCCTCCCCCCATATAAATTGTCACGCAGGCCACCCAACATTCCTACAAGAAACCCAAAACCAAGCACCAATAATACAGTCTCTAACAAAAGGTAGGCAAACAGGAGAGAGAAAGAGAAGAGAGAGAGAGACGTTTGGGATGAACCGAAAATGGCATACCAAATCTCGAACCGAAAGTCTTCGGGACAAGAATCCAACGACCGATCCCGAACCTCTGGTGCTAATACCCGCCCAAGACAATCCCATCGTACCATTTATGAAGATTTCCAGCCCCACTTTGAATTGATGGAAGAGCAGGAAGCTCACATTGTACAAGTTCATCTGCCTGGTCTCTTCCTCTTCTTTTCCTACTTTCTTTCTTTACCGGACTCTTTAGTCAAGTTGGGCACTCATTTGGAATTGCTTCTTTACAAGACATTTTTGTTCATTAGCACCTTTAGTAAAAGCGCTTTTATTAGAAGCACGTCAAAATTTTTAATAAAATTGCAAGTGCTTTTTTGAACCCAAAAACACTTCTAACTTTTTTTTACCAAACATGATCATAAGCGCTTTTTATGATTTGAAAGCGGTTTTTAGTTATTTTAAAATTAATTAATTGTATCAAATTACGTTGGTATTATATTAACAATCTACATTATTTTATAGAGAGCTGGGAGAATTCTCGACTCACTAAACAACTGAACTGACCTAACTCACGTGTTGCAAAATATATGGTTTATCTTCAGGTTTTGTGAAGGAGCAGGCTAAAATTAAATTTATGCAAAACCCTAGTGTGATTAGGGTTTATGGACAAAGACCTCTCGGCGACAACAAATGGAGCCGTTTCAACCAAACATTTCCAGTTCAACAGAATTGCGACGCAAGTAAAATTCATGGCAAATTTAGCAATGGGATTCTTACCATTACAATACCAAAGAAAGTCATCACATGGACTGCAACAGCCAAACCTATCAAGGAGCCACCACCAAAAACTGCTGCAACCACGGCCGAGCCGAAGACACACAAAGTTCAAGATGACCTAATTCCTTCAAAGCCCAGTTTGACAACATCGGCAGGCCCTCCAAAAACTGCTATCATACCAAAAATTGCTGCTTCTGCTCAAGGTGAACAACAAGGGGGCAAGACAAGTGCTCAGGAAGTTTCTGTTGCTGCCGCGTCGAAGGCAGAAAAGGCTTCTTTCACTACCAGAGATGAAAAAGAAATGGTTAACAAGAATGGTCGTCCTCCATTAGCTCATCCGAAAGGCACTGCAGTTGAGACAGAAGCACGAAAGGATAAAGAGGATGACGCTCTTCCAAAACCAATTTCATCGATCCAGAAGGAAAAAGAAAGGGATGAGAAGAGGTTGATACCGTTGACTAGTCCGGAAACAAGCAAAGCCGAGACTAAGTCTGAAGAGGGTGGTCAGGATGGAAAGAGAGGAAAGGCTTCTGTCGAGAGTGTTTATCGAACGGGGGTTGAAAACAAGGATCAGAAAAAAGCAAAAGGGAAGGCTGAAGATGAGGGTTCTATTGCCGCACATGTGATGGCTGCTGCAAATGAGCGTATGAAACATCTCGGAAGCAGGATGAATGATGAAGAGAAGAAGATATTGATCAATATGGGCGCAACGATTCTAGTTTTTATCGCACTAGGGGCTTCTGCATCCTACAATATGTGGTCCTCTGGGAAAGGCAAAAACTAAGGCCGGCATATTTTCACATTCCATTACAAATCTTTTATTAGATACTACACAAACACATAAACAAGTATTACAGCTTTTACATTCATTTTACCACCTCAGGTTTGAGATCTATTACAACCTCATACAACATCTTCAAAAAATTTTACTTTCATATTTAACGTACTATTTTATTTCAATATAATACATCCGTTATGTGGAGCAAAAAATATTCACTAGGCGACACGTGGACTTTTGAACGAAAGAGGACAAAAATACCCTTGAGGCATACCGGGATTCCTACGCGCAAGTAGTGGGTAATCATCCACAACCAATTCAAAAATGCTCCAGAAGAGGTAAACAATTCTAAATTATCTTATTTTAGGTAATTATTTCCAAAACTTAATTTCCCTAATACATTATTTAGTTAATTAATTATCTAAATAATATATTCTTCCCATATCTCCTAAAATAATCCTTTAATTATCAATTTGAAACATCCACTCAAACCTAAAAAATAGTATAGGGCCGGCTATCCCATTCAAAACCTAATTCATCACCTTTTTTCTACCTTTTCCATCATTTCTTCCCTTTTATTAGCCAATCAATACCATAAAGTACTAAAACATTTCCTTTCATATTTAATTAGCCAATTAATTGGCTAATTAAACCTAAAATAAAACCTAAAACTCCCACCTAGTAGCCGGCCACATTCCCTCCCTTCTTTTCCCTACCTTTTCTGATTTCCTCCACTTTATTACCCAAATAAAGCTAGTCATTCAATTTGGTAACTTCCCATTTATTTCTATCATATTTTATTAGCCAATAAAGTGACTAATTAAACCACAAAAATTCACCAAACACACACAAAGGGGCCGGCCACTTTCTTGAAAAAGTGGACCAACTTAGTCCTATAAATAGTCACCCATTTTTACCAAACACTCATTCCAAACCTCTTGCAAAAAATCCCAAATACTCTAAACACTATTTCTCTCTAAAAATTCTAACTTTGGCATCGGAGGTTCTTCGGCCAAAGCCCCCCCATTCATCATGGGCGCGTGAGGCTTTTGGCCTTAACCTAAGGTGCTAGTTGTTTTGTAGGTGCAAAATCGTCCAAGATCGAGGAGGAGAAAATTTGCATCCACAAATTGGTGCTTTCATTGAGAGTTGAAATCCATACTCGTAGAAGACTCTCGCACAAAAAGGTTTTTTCTTTATTTTCTAGTCCATTTGAATATTTTTCATACGTTCTTATTATTAGAATTTTTTACTTGTAAAGGTTCTTTGATAAAACGTATAAGAAAAATATAATGGCTGGAAATTTAGAAAATTACGCAAGTAAAAATTCTAATATTCAAGAAAGGGAATTGCGGAGATCCGTGAAGCAAAATGCGACAATAAGGGGATCAGCATCATCACCACGAGCTTCCACCATGGGAACCACCGCGGTGGCTACTTCGGTAGCCGCTCGTGGCGAGGTCCATGGGGCCTTCACCACAGCCACCATGGGAACCACCACGGTGGCTACTTCGGTAGCCACTCGAGGCGAGGTCCATGGAGCCTTCACCACGGCCCGAGCCGTGCCATCCAAGTTTACGTGGATCCAAGCCCAAGCCTCGCATTCACGTGCACCGCGCATTGAGCAGCCTGCTCCCGTGATCCAGCCTGCTCCAACTATCCAGCCTGCCCCAGTGATCCAACCTGCCCCTGCAGCCCAACCTGCTCTCATGATTTCCCAAGTCGGCCCGAGACAATTTCAACCATCCGGACCAATCATCGAAGCTGAGGCATTTTCACCACATTTCTCTGCAGATTTGACATTCCCCAACTCAAATCTCGCACTTGGAGTCAACCACCATTTTATTGTTCAAGGAGGTGCATTCCATCCAAGTTCTTCCAATCCGAATGGCGAACAAAATTTGTCCCGACAAGTCATAGAATTGACGAGCGCCCTTGCACAACAAACTACCTTGGTGAATCAACTTTTACAACGCACTGAGATGCAACGCGCCCACGATGAAGTTTCCCGAAGTAGAACAAAGGTAGACAATGAGCCTTTTAAGCAGCGTCCTGGAAAACAGCCATTCAACCCATCACAAGTTGAGCATTCAGACAGTGCACACTCTCGATTGGGCCCCCGAAATAGCGTATACTCCCTTCTTAGCGCTCGGAGGAGCGTGCATTCTCGGTTAGGCCCACGGGCAAGTATACATTCACGGTTGGGGCCACGCTTTGATAATCAACATGGGCAGCCTTCCAGGCAGAGCATTCATTCGCGATTAAGCTCACAAGGAGTTTTCTCCACATCACATCGGAGCAGACAGCCTGACAAATGGAAGGAAACAATCATTCAATCCGGCTCTAGTTCAACCAGTAGCCTGCAAAGAAATCCCTCGCCTGCTAGGAATCTATCTCATCCATTGCAGCCACAGCGTAGACGAGCCGAGCGAGAAGAAGAGCAGCCTAGACCGGTAGAAAAAGACCAAGGGCAGCCAAAGGTTCCGCTACCCTAACAAAAGCAAATCCAAGAAGAGGTAGAAAGGCTTTTCAATGAACGGATGCGTGATTTTCGGCGCAACGAAATGGTTGATGAGGCATTAAGGCGAGATATGACCAACATAAGCAAATCACCTTTCGCGGATGAGATCGAGCAGGCAAAGCCTCTGCGCAAGTTTAGCATGCCGCACTTCACATCTTTCAAAGGAGACGGGGATCCCGAAAGACACTTAAAGCATTACCGAAGTGCGATGGTCCTTTATTGGAATAATGACGCCCTTATGTGCAAAATATTAGCCACTACTTTACAAGGCGAGGCACAAAATTGGTTTCATACCTTGCCGGCACGATCTATCCAGAATATTGATGATCTTTCCTTGGTTTTCACCAAAGAATACTCATCTTATCGATCGATCAAGAAGAAGTCCGATCACCTGTTCAACGTAAAGAAAAACCCAAAAGAGTCGCTTCGCGATTACGTGAAGAGATTCAAAGCAGAGAAGGCGAAGATCGTCGGATGCGACAACTCGATAGCAAGTGCAGCCTTCCAAAACTGACTACCAGCAGACCACCCACTGTTTGGAGAAATGATCATGAAAAAAGACCTAACTCTAGCAGATTCCTTTGCTCTGGCAGAAAAGCATGCGCTTTGGGACGAGGCTCGACAAGCAGAAAAGGCTCCCAAACAGCCTCGAAAAGAGTTGGCAGCTGCTCAAAAGAAGGATGAAAAACAACCCAACAAGGGCAAGCAGGAGTTCAAGCGCAGGGACCGACCCACGACCAAAGAAGGCCCGATGACCAATAACTATTCTAAGTTCTCAATTCCGATTCATCAAATCCTTCGTGACATCAAGAATGAACCATGGTTCAAGTTGCCGAAACAGTCAAAATGAGATACTTCCAAGTTGGACCACACCAAGTATTGCGCATTCCACCGAGGTCCTGGTCACACAACCAACGACTGCTACACTTGGAAGAACTACCTAGAAAAACTCGTGAAAAAAGGCAAAGTCGATAGATATTTGGACAAGCCAGCTGAGCAGCCAAAAAAGAATGCAGACGGAGATGAGGAGCCACCAACTAAGATGATTCGAATCAATGGCATTTTCGCTGAATCCGAGCACTTGGGGGCCACTAATAATTCCAAAAAGAGGAAGATCCAGCAGGCTTTACTAATCTCACAAGTTCAAGCTGTCGATACCCAACCTGGACCTATCATTGGCTTCACGGAGCAGGATGCGGAAGGAGTCGACTTCCCACACGATGCATTAGTAGTATCTGTCCAACTAGCCCATGCTATAGTCGACAGGATGATGGTTGACAATGGAAGTGCGGTCAACCTACTTCAACTTTCAGTCATTCAGAAGATGGGCCTGGAAAGTACAATCATACGTCGGGCAGAGGTACTTACTGGATTCAACGGACACACCTCAACTGCCATTGGCCATATCACACTTGACGTAAAAACACCGCCAGTCGTTTCAAAGCAAACATTCATGATTGTAAGTGACCCGTCTCCCTACAATGGGATTCTTGGGATACCTTGGTTGATCAAGCTGGATGCTGTCACTTCCGTCAAGTATCAAAAAATCCGATTCCGCATCCCGGGAGGAGGAGTCGGAGAGATCAAGTCTGACCAGGTTTCATCCCGACGATGCACTGTGCAAATGTTGAAAGAAACAAAGAAGAAGACCTTTACCCCCGTAGAGGTTACCGGAGTCCAAAAGGGCAAAGAAATTGCCAAATAGCAATTACAGCAGGTAGATCGAGAAGATGGCGCCCAAGCAGACAAGATAGGATGGAAACCCGAAGAGGACGCCGAAGACATCATTCTTGATCCCCAACAGCCGGAAAAGATGGCTAAAATTGGCTCATGACTAAGCCCAGACGAGAAAGAAGAACTCACAATTTTCCTTAGGAAAAATCGAGATATCTTCGCATGGTCACCATCCGACATGCCCGGTATTGACCCCAAGGTGGCCTGCCACAAACTGCACGTCGATCCAACTGCCAAACCGGTAATTAAAAAAAGAAGACATTTCACTCCCGAACGAGTAGCGATCATCGAGGCAGAAATCGACAAACTATTGGAGGCCGGTTTCATAGAAGAGGTAGCACACTCGGCATGGCTTGCTAATGTCGTACTAGTCATGAAGAAAAAGAAGGGCAAATGGAGGGTTTGCGTAGA